GTCCCCAGGTAGAGGTAAATAAAGGTAATTATGCATCACAACAAGGGGCGCCAAGATTGTTGCTGTTTAACCCTGCATGCTCTTCACAACTTCGGCGAGAAATCGTGCATAATCGCGCACTGGCTCCAGGAGCATGGATTTCCAAACATGAGCTGAAAGATTCCACCCTTTTGTCCGACAAAGCGAAGGTCTGCAGAGAAGCTTAATCTTCCACGGGGACGATATATCCAGCAGCCGGGTTGGTTCCCGAGTTCCATCAAGGCAAGCAGCCCGCCCCTCGCAGGCTTCACTTTCATGGCAAACCCGATTCATCACTGAGGTATACATGGCACCTGAAATGCCACGGACCTAGCAAGAGTCTTCATGGAGTGTTAGTCAGATGCATGACCCGCTGCGAGGGAAGGAGACAATTGCCCGAAAGCCTTCCTTCCGTTTCGAAAAACTGTCTCTTCCATCATCCTCTATAAACCTTGAAAGCCCGTAGCTCAGATCAGCCCTTAGCGACCAGGCAATGATGTCGGAAAGTTCTTTGTAAGACAGTTAGTCAGCGTACGTGCAGGGCAAACTGAGGATGGCAGTTCCACGTTCCGGGAATGCCAGCCACTGCTGCTTTCAGTGCGGGCTGCACATAATTTCACACGTGCCTTCTCACTGCCATACTCACGATTTTCTGTATCTTTCATTCTAACAGCAACTTACTGTTGCTGTTGTGTATCAGTACCATACTTCCCGTCAACAACCAAAGGCTGGTTCCAGGTCGCCCGACTAAAGCGCTGATATCTCTCCGCGACCGTGTGGTTGGACAAATCCTCGCAGTAGGTTGATGCCATGACATGCCATGACTGGGTTGCTTTTAAGGCACTTAAACTAAGCTACCATAATGATATGGCTATATAAGCTATACAGTACATCATAGGGTTGCCTTGCTTATATAGCAACCTAATTTAAGTTCCTTAACAGCGGCCGAGAAAGCCCAGAAGCCGCCGCGCACAAATCCCAAAACCTCCTACAAAGCTGACAGCAGTTCCTGGCGCGTTTGGGGCAGGTTTGGTGGCAATCACAGCTACATCCACCGTCTTGACAATGATCCTTTGCGGCTTTGAAACGCCCAGGAACCAGAGGACAACATACCATAGCAAACGCCACAGTGCACCGAAAACCAAGTCAGCTTTCCCCCCCATAAACCGTCCAAAGCGCAAAGTTCCTCCCCAAATATTACAAAACAACCTCCCAGAAACTCATGATAAATATGGAAGCTGCAATTTGGAGACACTCCGTCATGGAAGACTGTGTTTTCTGGGCCGTACAAGAATGCCAAGGTTGTATCATGTGACCCTGAGGGAGGTTTGAGAGATCTTTACCGGCAATTCTGCAAGAAGCCATCAGAAGTTTACATGGGGAATCACCTTTTACGGGGATCATCTTGCAATCAGCCTTGGAGCCCACAGTTTATTGAGAGGGTCTCTGGCTTACAAATAGGATTCAAGCCTGTGCCGCTGGGGTCGGCTAGCGGCTGCGGTCTTGGAGACCTGTCGGTCTGTGTTTGGCTAGTAGAGTGATCTCTCAGAGCTGACACGCAGCTCTGATGTCCTAGGCTAGACTTCTGCATAACCTGTGCAGTAAGGATGGCTGCTGGATTCATCTAGCTCCGCAAAACTTCAGGGCAGGATGACCAGCAGTATGTCAGCTTCGCCTCGCTCCTACACCGAATTGAGCTGTAAGCGCCAAAAGCGAATTTGAATTTGAAGCTACATGTGACTGTGTGGCTGAGACTCAGCAACCCACTCCTTGAGACACAGGACCCAAACAGCAACACCCTTGTTCTCGCAGGAACTCAGTCTAGAAGCTTTTGGAGCAAGATAAGCTTGAAAAGCATGGAGTGAGGCCCAAACGGCAAACCTCAGGCCGAACATAATCTGAACTCCCCTAGGCTGTCGAAATAAGCTTAGAGTCTAGCCCAGCCCCTACAACTGTGAAGTCTCAACGACATGGCCAACATCGTTAGACGTACGCCTTCATCCCACAAACCACAAGCCCTCGAATTGCAGAATGCTATATCCGTGACTCTAAGCCGTGGGCAAGGTCTGGGTCTGACAAGAGGTCCTCGGCACGCTTATCCTCCGCCAAGGCGCCACTGAACTTTGTGGTGCCTGATGGCTACGATGGCTACAGCACGGAAGCTGTATATAGGGAAGTTCAGGGCTTTGGGCTTTGCATCCAGAAGCCTCATGCCAGGGACTGGGCCAATATTTGAGGGTTAGGCTTGCATGCCTCACTTCTGGGACCAAGCAGGGTATGCCTAGTTTCTTGGTCGCCCCGGGAAGATTTTTCGAAGGTAGGCTGTGTGCTCAACAATGTTGTTAAGGACCCCTATGTATGTTCATACTTTTGCACATGTGACGTCCCTGCATACATGCCCTGCAGACTAACAAACGGGAGGTAAAACAAGCTGGCCCAATGTGCCTGTGTAACGGGTGCCCGAGATGCGCTGGCGAGCTGCCTGATTCTAGGCTGCGGGGCATATAGTCTCAAACAAGGATACTACATATGCTTCCTCCAGGATATGTTGAGGGTTTAGCAAGTGTCATAATGTCATAATAAGGTGTGTGTGTATATATATACACATATAGGGGTTATACGGTTATATAGGGGTATAATATATGGATGATGGAAAAGAAAAGGGAAGTACTATATCATAATAGGGTATGTATATATATATATATGGTACCCCCCCCCCCAAGATCTATGTTTTTTTGATCTCTTTGCTGCTCTTCTCATTCATATCATACTCTTTCTTACTCACCAGCATCTCATGATCATCTCGTCAATGGAATATGGTGGATTCAAGATCAAAGATTCTCCAGGACTCTTGGGGAGCAATCTTGGATCTTGGATCCGCCATATTGAAATTCAA